GTGGCTATTTTGACGATCCTCTAAGGAACACATTAACAAACGAAAAAGGGCGAAAAAGAAAAAGTTCACCCTTCGTGTCTAGCTGAGCCCCGCCCCGAGAGGGTAATTTGGAGATGCTGCTGCTGAGAGTGTGGCGTTGGAATGATCGATGGAATGGATTGTCCTTCGACTGATCAAGGCTGCAAATCAGCAAAAAAGGGAGGAGGAGGAGGAGGAGAAGCATCGTCACACCAAATATCCAGTCCGCTCTCTCTCCCTCTCTCTCTCTCTCTCTCTCTCTCTCTGGGTATCTCTCTCACACGAGATTGTCCCCCTAAAATGTGACTACCGAGAGAGCTGGCAAATGGTCTCTGCAAGTTTGTCTCCAATTGCCTGAATTTCCCTAAATCCCTGCTAGTAGCCCCCCCCCGCCCAAAACCTCTGCTAGCTGCCTACGTTCATCCCCAAAAAGCCTAACAATCATCGCTAATTTGCCTTCCTTCCTCAAAAATCACTGCTAGGACACCCTGATCCTTATCCCAAATGAGTTAATTTTCCTCAATAGCCCCTGCCAGATAGCTCTATTTCCCTAAATAAACACTGCAATCTTGCCCTCCGACTACAAAGTTGTCACAACCTTTTTCCGAGCAAACACCCTGAACACCTGGCATATTTTGCGTGGCTACTAGAATAGCTGTGACCGGCCCCGGGGGCGCCATTTAGAATTCTGAGTCGACAGCCGTGGGGGGCTATCTTTAGCCAGATGTTCCAGGGGAAACCCGAAAAAAATTGAAGAAAAATTGGGAGGAACCTGGCTTTTGCACGTGCAAAAGAGGAACGCTGAAAATAGGGCGGAAAGGTGCGTAGGGAAGTTCAAGGGCTGCCGATGGCATGTGTCGATCCCCCCATCAACAAATTGGCAAGTAGCCAACAGGGCAGAGAGCGCGCCCTGGGGAGAGGCGCAGAGACAATTTCTTTCCAGCGCGTAACCGATTGACTATGCCGTCGGCATCCCTTTCAGCGAAAATGGCGGGAATAGCGGAGAACAGAGAGCTACGGTATTTGCGCTATTTTGGATTATCGGAAAGGCTGATGGTAATCTAGCGGGGGTTATTGATGAATTGGAACAGCTACCCGAACTTGGCTATTGACCCCGTCAGCTAGCTGCGACTCTTTGGGAAGCGGGCGAGCTGGCTGGGGCCATTTTGGAACCGGGAAAGCAAGCACAGACCATCTAGAAACCGGGCAAACTAGCTGCGACCCTTTAGGAGCGGGGGCACCTAGCAGAAACCTTTTAGGCATCAGGCGAGCTAGCCGAGATCCCTTAGGACCCGGGCTGACAAGCAGAGAACTTTTAGGAACTCGATAACCGAGCAGCGGCCGTTTAGGAACCAGGTAAATTAACAGCTACTCTGTAGGCACCGGGCAAGCAAGCAAATACAATTAAAGAGCCGGGCAAGCTAGCAGCGATCCTTTAAGGAATAAGGGCAAACTAGCCGTTCTCATTTTCCACAAGCCTTCTATTTCATTTTCCTTCCGGCCCTCATCAATTCCCCTCGAAATGTTCCCACCTATTCCTCCACCCCCACCCGCCCGTCATTTCCCGACAAAAAAAGAAGCCCCCGAAATCCACGGGCCAAGACTACAATCAACAACAATGACATGCGTGCGTCTGGCCGGTCCGGCGAGGAATTTTGATTCTAGCCCCAGAAAGGGGTTGTAATCTAATTTCCATCCTCATACCTTCTGCAATGCCCATTAAACGGCTTTTAACGAGAGTGAATCAAATTTTTCTAGTCTCCAACAAAAGGCGAAACCTACAAAAAGCCTGCCCTCCCCCCTGCAAAAGATATGAATCGGGCCAGCTGCCAATTTCCGGCAAACAAAAACTAAATTCTTCTGGGCGAGGCGAATTCCTCGGGGGAATTTCAGCGATGAAAAGGTCGCTTTAAAACATGGCTAATAGCTTTTCGTTTTTGTTAAACTGCGGTGACCCTTGAACTGAATGAAGAACGGAAAAAGGGCTTTCCTCTCAATAAATCAGTGTAAAATTCTTGAGAAAAACTGGGGCTAGCACGTCGGCTAATATTTTGCACGTCACAAGATAGGCCCCGTAAAATTCCTCCGCGATCCCTGCTAGCATCTCCTAAAACCTAAAATCAAAATGCTTTTTCTGGCGACCCGAAATCCTCGACCCAATCAACAAACAAAAGCTCTCCGTCCAGGCGCATTTTGTAAAAATAAAAACCACCCATGGTATTCGAATTTTGATCGCATGATGTGCGCCATTGGTCAAAAGCGGCCGCCGCGTTTTTTTTAAATCGGACCGCCACCTGGACCCAATCGCCAATGGGCCCTAATTTGCGGATATTTTTACCCGGCTGGCAAATTTTTGCCCGACCCAACGTCGGGGGTGTTCTCCAAACTGTGCCCTTCTTCAAAAGCCCTCCGCGAAAACCATGACGTTTTTGCTGTGCGGGGGCGGCGTTAAATTTGAATTAACTTTGATTAAGTGGCCGACAGCCTGACTAATTTCCGCGTGAATAACTAACTAACGAAATTGCGCGCGGCGCGAAACTTGGCCGTAATAAGATTATGAGTACATGCTCTAGTGGCCCGTTGATAGATTGGCGGGGTTATTTGGCTGTCTGTCTGAGGCCAGGCGAGGCGAAAATGTTACAAAAATCGGCTAGAGGAAACGTGAGGGGTGGAAAAGAAAGGAACGGTCGTGAGCGGAACCAGTTATCATCGGTGAGCTCCTTGCTAGTTTGAAATGGCGAAAAAGGCGTTCCACCGCAAGTCAAAGTGAATTTTGATGAATTTCCTGGTCGAATTCTGCCTAGAAAAGAGCAGGAACACGTTTTCGGACCCTAGTAAACATCAAAAGTATAAAGTATTTTTCTTCTCTGAAAGTCAGTGGCTCGTTTTTTCAATTAGTCATCAAAACGTCAAAGCCTATCCTACACGTCTCTACAAAAAATTTACGTGGTCCCGAAGCCCGTCCTACAATTCCAGCACGATAACTTATGTGTTTGCAAGATAATCCCCCTCCCCCGGTCCAAATCTTATGCCCAATCTTTCCCCTCTATGGATTCCCCAAAAAAAACTCACAAAACGGATTTGCGCAAAATCACCAGCATTTGTTTGGAAATGGCAGGGGAAATCCCCTCAAAAATTGCCCTTTGTTGCGATCCCGCGGCCCCCATCTAATCCCCTTCTCCCCGCATTTTTTCACTTTTTCTTGCCCGACGTCTCTAGGTACGGTAGGTTCCCCGGCGGGCACCAGGAAATTGAAGATTTAGGGATAAGCATCCCAAAGCGCTAATATTGCAGGATCTTTGTCTGAGCTAATGATGATTCGAAGTCGAAAAATCCGGCTTTAGCCGACAGTCATGGCTCCATTCAGCGTAACGGGTACAGAAAACATGAGAATTCGATCGGATAGACATGCCTAAAAGAAGCGTATCCTCGGGATTGGTCTAAACAACGAAACACCTAATAATTCCCATTAGACTACAAAACTACACTCTACCAACTGTAGAACTACAGCTTTACCTAGAACGTTCCCTGATCACGGAAAAATTATGGTTTGCCAAACACCTAGAGGCAACAGGTGAAAATTAGCGAGGGTGGGCCAATAAGAACAGGTGGAAAACGAAAAAATGAATAAAAGGGCAAATTAACAATCGCGCAGCCCGCGAAAGAACGATCCCCATTCCCAAGAACCAACAGGGTGGCGAAAAATGTTTGTTTTGGACAAAGGAGTCGTAAAAATAGGGGGCAAGGCGAGATCACAGTCGCGCAGATATCGTGGCCACGTGAAAAACAGTGGAAAGTATGTAGTCTTAGCGATAACGCAAGTACATTACCACGTATTACATCGCCGCAAAAGAGCACAAGACCGACCTCAAGAGTACACTCATCGCAACACAATTCCTTGCCAAGCAATCGTTTGACATCCGCTCGCAGAGCAAAAGAATGTTTATTCAACAAAAAAAAACCAACAGTAAAATAGACGGGCAATTATTTGTGGTGCTTGCGCATGGCGATGAGGACGTCCTGGAGCTCGTCACGCTTATGCTTGGCGCGGCAGTGGCCTCCGACGCGCTTCTTCAGGAACTTGAGCGCCTTCTTGTCCTTGCTGATCTTCAGATATTCCATGGCACGACGCTCGTAGGGCGCGAATCCGGCGATTTCTCGGACAAGTTCGCGTACTGCCTGGAAAAGATAAGGTTAGATCGAGCACACTAAAGTTAGTCGAGATCCCGAATTTGTCAAAATCAAGATACCTGCTACTTGCAAGTAAAAAGGCGCAGAAATTCTAGGACTAAATACAATACTTCGAAGACCAAGAATAACTAAAATACTCACCACCGCTTTCTTCGACTTTACTCCCTTTCTTCGCGATTGTCGTGGATCCCGATCCAGCTTTGTCACTTGGTGTCCTTTCTTGAGGCCGCGGGCCAGCGCTTCGATGCCTGGTCTGCCCATCTGAAAATGCAATAATAAATAAATGAAAATCGCGTAGATATACGGAAACAAGAAACCGTTCGGCCGCGGGAAAAGAAGTGGGAATAATCGGAACGCCCCGGCCATCGTGCCCACCGTATGATCGACCTGCTGGTCGCGCCGGGACGCCGGATGTCCATAGTAGCCTTTCGGAATCGCTAGTTATCGATCTTATTATTACTTTTTCTAAATCTTATTATTACTTTTTCTAAATAAAAAGTTTGTAATAATCGTTTCTATATATTTTAAATTATAAAGTAGACGTTTTCAACGTTCCCGACTTCCACAATGCAACCTTAGAGCGTTTTTGAGCATGTTTCCTCGTATTAACTGTCAAATTTCGGTATCTTCACCAATCCAGAGACAATCAATGCCAACATCCAACCCCGGGTGAGAGAAAAAGCGAGCAAGCTCGAATTTCGCGCGAGAGAAATTGTTTATAGAAGGAACAAGCGCGGCGGCGGGCGTTTCGAGTCGATTGATCTAATCTGCGACCAGCGGTCGCGCCGGAAATGCGGCAATTTTTAGGGATTTTTGTGTTCCTGCCTGTTTGTTTCTCGATCGTCTGTTATAATGTGAGTTTTATTATAATCAAGATAACTTTTTCATGAAAGTTTAGGCGTTTATCTGTCGTAATTTAGGGTCTCAAAGTCATTCAAGGCACGTCGATCGGCGATAACACGGTTACATGCGGCTCCGCAGCTCAAGTAGGTTTTTAACCGTAAGCTAAGCAGGGCGTAGCTTATGTTAAGCTTTTTCTAAGCTTAAGATAAGCCTATCTCTACTTCTAATACCTTTAAGTGTTACAACATGAGCGCCCAAGCCGGCCAATACCTCGATGTCGTGAAAGCGGGCTGCTCGCTATGGAGATGCTTGGTAATTCAGCTTTTAAATCAATTCTAATGGCAAAACGTGGTTTTAATTGTACAGTAAGATACTATAGTAAATTGAAAAGTAAAGACAGCGAAGCTATCATTTATAGTTCGCGAGCAACCGCTGCATCAGCACCACCTTCCAAAAGATCCCAATCTCGATGTGCTGCTGTAACACCGACCGCTGTAATCAGGGGGAATGCCGTTGGGTTTGAGTGAGTTTTTTATGTTTTTTTCTTTGAATTTTTGAAAAGCTTCTTATTTAATTTCCAAGCTTCTAAGGCTCATATGAATTTCTAACTAGCTTTTTCCTAGAGATAAAAAGCAAATCACCGGCAACACAAACGCCGAGCCGAGCGAGGAAGAAGTCGCCGAGATGCAGAAGATTCGCACCCAGTTTGCTGCCGCTGGAGTTGATGAGGTGGGTTTCTTTTTTAGAATTACGTAGATACAATCCCTGGTAGTTTCACCTGCTTTTAATCGTATTTTTAGGAAAGAATCTGCATCAAGTGGAAAACTATCTAAGAAGCTTATAAACTTATCCTACTATATATAAAAAAATAGTGTCTGTGTGTGTGTGTGCATTTGAATGCAACTTCCGTCAGCGTGTTCCAGTAGTAACTCGATAGGGGAAAGTTTTTAAGTTAAGTTTGATACGTCATTAGGTGCGTAATGCTTCCGAGATGACTGCAGACGTATAATATTTTGCAAATTATCTCTTTTTGTTAAATATTGGGGGTTTTTCTTTAAAAAACGGGGCGCCCTCTTTGTTAGGGGAAAATTAGCATGCACCGGAAGTGGCGATAGCCTATATAATCGGAGAGGGGGCGTTTTTTTCCTTTTTTATGATTCGGGCGAATTATGTATGGGTAGGTTTTATTTCATAAGCTTATACGGGCCAGGGTTGAAAAGTCGCGAAGCGGCTTTTCAACCCTGGTTTTATTTAAAATTTCGGCCGAAAATCTATATTTTTTGTATTTTTCCCAAAATTTCTATATTGTTTACTGGAGGAATATTAAAAAAGAGTTTATATGGCTACTAATATCTTTATTACGAAAGTTGGATCCTCAGGAAAAAATGTTATTTTAGAAAAAATTAGAAAATTTATAATTTAGGACGCTCCGCGCTCAACTAGGAGTGTATTGGAAGCTACGATGCCTGGTGAAGAGGTTGGAATTTGTGGTTTCTTCTTTACTTTATAGGTTTTAGTAAGCTAGTGATTTTTCAGGTGGCCATCGATGATATCCAAGCTACGCCCAGCGCCTAATGACGTTGTTTTTATGACGCCAATTCCAAAAGTTGACAATAAATAAAGATGTTCCCCGGATATGCCAATATCTTGACACCAGGTCAATAAAAAGGTGTTTACCCTCGACTCTCGAACCATTCGATCCACACAAAGCGACGTCCCGCCGCGCGCAGTTACGGTAATTAGAAGGAGACAACTTTTAGTGGGGAGGGGACTGGCGCAATGTGACGATGGGAAGAGGTGATAATTGGGCCGGATGTAGAGGAGGAGGAAGACAAAGACCGACAATATTTGGGTGGCTCGGATTTCGGGAGGTATTAAGTTAAGACCAGGCCAATCCTAAGCCAAGCCCAAGCCTAATTATAAGCCTAAACCTAAGCCCAACCTAAGCCCAGGTTCGAGTCCATGCTAAAGCTAAGCCAAACCTAGCCTAGCCTAGAAAAAAAACAGTTAATGAAACGGTATATTTATGCTAGAATAAATCTTTCGAAAAATTAGCCCTCCCCCCGATACGGCAAAAGAACCCCCGAAAGCCAAGCTAAAGTCCAAGCTAGCAGAGATTATTTGGGAATCCCCTCGCTTTATGATCCCACAAAATCGGGATGCTAATTTTCGGCCGGCTCGGGGCAGGGCCAATATGCAAGCGATTAGTAGATGGACAGGGGCAGCTGCAAGTATCTCTCTCTCTCTCTCTCTCTCTCTCTCTCTCTCTCTCTCTCTTCAAATACTCATCCCTATCATCCCGAGCTATAAGATCTATGCAAATTAGGGTGTCCCTTCAGCGCTAGTTACATCACAATCCATCCGGATACGCGCATGTTCTTCTTAGAGATCCCATCCGACAAAATTGGAGGGTCAATTTGCCGGTCGGATTTGCGGCTTGATTCGATGGGGGTACTGTAGCCGGGTAATATGGTGAATTAAAGGAGCCGGGAAGGCAGAACATCGATCGATTTAATCAAAAATTTAAAAAATACGCGTTATTGACTATGGTTTAATGGTTAGCGTGGTCGTCAGTCAGGTAGAGGACCCGGGTTCAATTCCCGACCAAGTCAAGCTTTTTGCTCTTTGCTCTGCTGAATGCTCAAGTATTAAAAAAGTTTATAGAATAGTAGTTTTAGTATATCTTAATTTTTAGGGTTATAGAAGCCAACATCGTGATCTTATTTGACCCCCTAACTTCCATACCCCGAGGCAGTTCTCGGATTGACTCGTCATCCCTCAGCCTGTCCATTTTGTATAGACAACAAGATGACACCGATCCCCCTCTCTCTCTCTCTCTCTCTGTCACTAATCTGGCGGTGTCTCTTTATGAGGTGACAACGAAGTGCGGGTAGAGAAGGCACTTTTGCACAATGGGGTTGACCCCCCCAAACAGTCTTTTGGGGGCATAAGTTGCGATACATTAGAGATGTTGATACCGTATACTGGCCCGTGTACCTGCCTTTAAACTATCACAACCAAAAAGCAAAAGCTTGTCGTGGTCGGGGGTCGAACCCGGGTCAGAAACCTAGAAGGCGAAGATACTAACCAGCACAACAAGACCTGAAAAACATGACAACGGCATTTTGGCATTCGTTGCTTGTGGCTCATTGGTAGTGTTCTTGGCCTTTATTCTCACGACCCGAGTTCGAATCCTGAGATCAAAAGTCCGAGGTCCAAAAATCAAAAGTCTTTTTGGTCCGGGGGTCGAATCTAGCAAGAAAAGCGCGATTTTAATCTGTTTTTCAATTCTGGATTTTTCATAATTATAGCAAAGTGTCCTGGACTACGGCTTCGGGCTGAATTTTTATGAATTGGCATAGTTTCCGATGCTTTATCAAAAACCTTCATAAAAACCCGAAAAAATTCGAAAATTCCAAAAAATCAAATCAATCCCTAAAAATCCTTCAAGTTGACCTGTCTTGCCGGTCCCTTTAATTCCCCTCCCACTAGCCATTCAGCCAAAAGTCCCGCGTGTTCTTGTGTCTTTTTCGTGTATTTGATAGATGCCGAAAGGGGATACAGGGCAACCGGATTAGCGGGGGGAGAGGCCTTTCGGGAGAGGACAGATAGATACAATATTGCGCCACAAGCATTTCAGACCCAAGGCGGGGGAGAAGGGCCTTTTGAGGTACCATACCCCCACACATGGCTACAGGTATTTTAGGGGTAGAAATTACCTAATATACCACTAGCTGCTAGCCCTTGAACTTGACGAATTATGGTTGTATCTCATTTCCGCGATGCTACCATTTACGGGCCAATTTTGGGTGGGTTACGGTAGCGCTGCAGGGGACGCAGAACTTTGGATGGCGGGCAGGGCTTATTAGGGAAAAAGGCATCTTGCGGAGATTCTTTGCGACTTGACAGGGGCAAGCTAGCAGAGATTTCTTGGGAATTCAAGGTGCAAGCGAGCAGAGACCCCTTGGGAGTTGAAATCAGCAAGCTAGCAGAGAATATTTAGGAATACAAAGGAGCAAGCTGGCAAAAATTCTTTGGGAATTGAAAGAGGCGAGCTGGCAGAGATTCTTGGAATCAGACAACCTAGGAGAGGTTCTTGAGGATCCGGCAAACTAGCAGAGATCCTTTGGAACTCTCTGAAAGCCAATAGCCGTCTTTGCAGTACTTTCAAAGCTTAATTTTGAGGCTGTTAAAACATCAGTAAGCTCTAAATATATCTATACTTTGACTTCACAGTCCCTTTAAAAACAATTCCTTCCTATTCTTCTGCCGCATTCTCGGGCCCGTATTTGGCGGATGTTCACATAGCGGCAGGTGTCAAAAGGAGTATCCCGTACTGTCGTCTAATGAAGTGGTGTATTGAAGGGGGCTACAAAACACTACAAAAGACGGGCGGTGCGGAGGGGTCCGGAAGTCTCGATGTCTTTTGTATTTAAAGGCACTTGGAAGGCCTAGAATCTACAGTCCTCTGGGCCGTCCAGTTCGTTAAAGGAACTTGAAAGGCATAGGGTCTATAGATTTATCGAGTCCCCAAGTTAGGCGCGATTTAGCGCCCGCCAGTTCCATTCGACTGCAAATGACCCCGGTGGTGGGGGGGTAAATGACCGGATCAGGGGGTTTGGGGGGTGGTTGTCGGCAACATACACGGGGATCGGTTGCCAGATATAATAGAGGCTTGATACGGTTGAATGCCCTCTACCACCCCCTAGATGTGATAATGGGCCACAGCGCCACTTCCTGCCCACACTGCCGACACCCACCCCCCGAAAAGCCCAAAAGTGGCCCCGCAGGAAGGTGGGCCCCAGGCCAAAAGCGAGCCCAGAAGGTCCGAGTCCCAGAAAATATCGAAAAATCTTGGTTTAAAGAAGCAAGGAAGGCGATATTTTGGGTAAATTTTAGCCATAATACCGACAGCCGAAATACGATCAGGCTTACAATTAGATGCTGATAGCGACAATCCCGACAGTGAAAAACCCGACAAATTCTTAACAAGAATTGGAAATCCACTACCTTTTAAACGGCAATTTTGCATGTCGGGATTTTGGCCCTAGGGCTCATGGCTGTCGGTATTGTCGCGTTTTCCGATCTTAGGTTACAGCTATTTCAGTCAAAACTTCCCGCTGGCTACCCGATTCCTCAAGACTCTCCGCTGGCTTGCCTGGACCTTAAAGAATTTTTGGCTGCTTTCCTGGACTTCAAATGCATCCTGCTGATTCGTCAATCCCCCAAAATGATCCCCAAGAATCCCTGTCAGCTCACCTGGGTCTATTGGCTCTTCTCGAGCCTTCAATGGCCCTTTAAACCCAATTGCCAGCTCGACCTTGCCCTAAAGTGTTGATGAATCGAATGGCAAATATTGGTGGATGAATATATCCGATTGTCTGTCTCTCTCCTTCTCTCTCTCTCTCTCTCTCTCTCTCTCTCTCTCCTTCTCTCTCTCTCTCTATCGCTCTCTCTCTCCTCAACAAGTATATCCGGCTGTCCGTTATGTGGATTGTCTCATACTGTCTTCACTTCAGTGGCTTCAAGGTCGATGCTACGCGATACTCCTCTCAACGCTCTCTCTCGCTCTCTCTCTCTCTCTCTGCCTCGCTCTCTAATTGAGAAGTATATGGCCACAGGGCTCTCGACCCAATCGGGAGGGTAGAGGGGAGGTACTTCACCCCCAAATACTAGAGAAGATATTGGTTTACCCTGATTTGGCATGTTCTCCCGAGGATGGGTAGGCTAGCAGAGATTCTTAAGCAAGCGCGGAGTTAATCTGGATTACAGTAAAACGGGCATGCTAGCAGAGATTCTTTGACGAAAGCCAGATTGCGCCCTTTTCCACTCCACTCCTATTGCCATACCATGTCATTTCGTTGCGGTTCGTATTTTTGTGTTTTGCTATTGCCGCTAACAGTCTACCATTATTTAGCTGTATCCAATAGATATATCCGTTTTTCAATCCGAATATTACCCGAGAAATATTGAGTCCATCCCTTCCCTCTCTTTTCTATTCGGTGAGGGGCCAGCTGTGGGGTCTAGTGTCGATCCGCGCTCTTCGAATGAATACAATGAACACTTTTTCCATACCCCCGACCCTCCATTTCCACGCTGTTTTGCCCCGAGCAGCGGGCAAAAGCAAAAAGCGGCGCGTGAAAAACTGTTTTTGGCCTCGGCATGCCGCTTTGTGCGCAGCAAATTGCGGGGGACTTTAAAGGGAATGAAAGCACGATTGGGGTTGATGGCTCCTAAAGGATCTCTGCTGGCTTGCTCAAAATTCCGCAAGGATCTCTGCTAGCCTGCCTTTTTGCTAAACAATTCATCGCTCTCTTTCTTTCTCTTTCTCTCTCTGTCTCTCTCGCTCTCTCTCGCTCTCTCTCTCACTCTATCTATCTTTCTCTCTCTTTCTCTCTCTGTCTCTCTCGCTCTCTCTCTCGCTCTCTCTCGCTCTGTCTCTCACTCTATCTATCTCTCTCTTTCTCTCTCTGTCTCTCTCGCTCTCTCTCGCTCTCTCTCTCTCACTCTATCTATCTATCTCTCGCTCTCTCTCGCTCTCTCTCGCTCTCTCTCGCTCTCTCCCTCTCCCT